CAGGTCTCCTCTTTGGGAGATGCTATCACAGCCCAAACCAGAGGTAGACCTTGGTTTTTGTGCTAAACACAACATATAAGTAGGAAAATCTATCCAAGCTGTGGGAGCACAGGAGATAATCAGCCTCCTCCTGCCCTCCAGACTGTTTAGGCTTGCTGGAGTTTTGGGTAAACTCTCTTAAGAAATGCCTGGGGCCAGAAATAGCCCCAGTGAAGGATTTGTCATGGTGTGCATGTGTTTACCTTCAGTATCCCCACAGTCTTTCCTCTGACTTCTGTGGCCTTTAGATCAACCCCCCTCTGAACACAGGGGACGTGATTTATCCAAAATTGTGCCCCATGGTATTGTTTGTACCCTGTCAAAAGGCTTGTAAAACACTGTGAGGTCAGAGCAGCACTTTTTGTCCACCCACTTGCACTGTATGAGCAGCAGTGCCTGGGACAGTCAGGCTCCATAGGTTTAAACTTGTTATTTTTTGCCATATTCATGACAGTACAAAAATAAATTATAAAATAGAATCATGTATTTATGGGACAGGCATTTTATCAACACCAGCTACAAGGACCAGGATAAATTTGCTTTGGCTCTGTTAAAAACTTTAGTGTTCATTATTTGAAACAGGAGAAAAAAATAAATAAAAGCTTTTTCACAATATTTTAATAATATTGATAAGGTATGATCTGGGCATGAAATCAGAAGTTGGTTTGAGCTGATAGGCCAGTCAGGCACGAGGCTCTTGTGTGGCATTAACCAGCAGCTCCACAAACAACTCAGCTCCACATTTTACCACATTCATCCTGATGGAAAGAAAGCCAAAGGAGTTTCCACAGCCTCTGAATTTATGCAGCCTCCACTGGTTCTGTCTCCAAGTATTTATGTTGTGTTTACTGATACTTCAATAGAAATGAAAGTTTGAATTGTTTACATTCATGGTGCTTGTAACCAAATGTTGGAATGAACTGAGTGTCCTGCTGTCAGGAAAACCAGAGATGATTGTGTACAGGAAACTTTTTGTCTGTAATAAAGCAAGCCAGATTTTTGAAGAGTGTTTCATTGAAGATAGGCACCATTAATTCTCTTCCCATTATTGAAGAAGGGATTGATCTCTTCAGAGAGTTGAATAGGCCCAAGTTTGATGGCATTTTACTTATGTATCCTATTGTTTTGGTTAAATTATGAACGATGGCATTTGAGAACTGCAGGTTTTCCCTGAACTTTCTCTCCTCAACCCCCAAAATGTGAAATAAAACAGAGGTGAAAAGTCAGTTGTGCTTAACCTGCTGCGTGTTCATTTGTGGAGTACTGCAGACTCCCTGACTGTTGTAACTGGGCTTCAGAATGCACGTGGCAGCCCAAGCTCTCCAGCCCTTGGCAGTGCACCTTGGTGGGATGATGACAAAGTAAACATAGCAAAAATATTTTTAGATTGGACTCAGCTTTGCTTCTGTAGACCAGATCTTTTTGAGTCTCACTGGGGTGTTGTAAATCATGTGCTCCAGTAAAGCTGAATGATAAAAGAGGAGCTGTGACACACAGGGGTAATCCTGCCTGCTTAAATCCCACCTTGCTTTGTTTCATGTATGTTGAGCTTCAGAATAGTGCTTCCTGTGGTTTCCAGCAGTGTGTGGTGATATCTATTAGATGGGTTTTTTCTTCCTCTCCTGGGACACGTCTGCATGTCAACGTTTCATTGCACGTGCAATGCTATGTAGGTTTGGCTTTGTTTCATTCTTATGGGTTTATGGTTTAACAAAATGAGTTTTATATCTATTTAGATGGCAGTTACAGAACTGTAGAAACATCAGGAGCTGGAACAGGCCTCTGGAGATCATCTAGTCCAAAGTGTCTGCTGAAAGCAGGCTTGAACCTCAAAGCTTTGAAGTTAAATCAGGTTGTTCTGGACCTGGTCTGGTCAGGTTTGAAAATATCCAAAGGTGGCAATTTCACAGTGTCTCTGAGCAACCTGTGCTGGTGCTTAGGCACTGTCCTGGTGAAGAATGACTTCTTCATCTGCATTCACAGTTTCCCATGTTCAAACTTAGGGTCTTTCCCTCGTGCTGTTTTGCCATGGATCTCTGAGAAACTCTGTTGTCTCTATAATCCCCCTCTAGGTGGTGGAAGACCTCTCCTTACACTGTAGCTCCCTGACCATCTCAGTGGCTCCAGCCCATCTGAGTTGTCTCCAGTTTGTCAGTATCTCTCATGCTGGAGAGCTCAGGATCTACACAGCACTCTGGATGTGGCTGGAAGAGTGCTGAGGAGACAGGAAGACTTGTTTCCACCACCCTGATGGCACCTCTGGCTCACAGCACCCAGCAGGCAGCTGCCCTCATCACTGCAAGGGGGCACTGCCTGCTCCTCTTCAACTTGCTCTGCACTGGGACCCCAAGATCCTTTTCTACAGAGCAACTTTTTTGAGGCAAACAGTTTCATGCCTAGGCAGCAGGAACTGCAGTGGCCTGGCCTGGACACCTGAGCTGCCTTCCAAAGCTCACACTAAAAGGCTGTACAAATGATTCTGTGGCTCAGGAAGGTCTGAGGTGCCATAGGTGGTGCTTTCATAAATGGGTTTTCCTCTCCTGAATTTGTCCAGTTGGTTTCTGAGCCCAGTTTATCATCTGCAGCCTCCTGTGGCAGGGAGTTCCACTGCTGCATGTGGAACTACTACGTGTTGTGTAGGGAGGATCTCTCAGACCTACCCCTGCTGAGTGGACTTGATACTCTCTGTTAGTTCTAGGGAGACCAACAACCATTTCTTCTTCACCATTTTCACACCTCTCATGGTTTTATAGCTTTCTACACAACATTCCTCTGTTCTTTTCTCTCCTGTCAACCTGGGAAGTCCTGATCTAGTCAGTTTTCCTTCACAGGAAAACCATTCCATGCTTTTGTTCATCCTTGTTGCCCTTCTGTGTTTTCTTCTCCATTCTGCTGTTTGCTGTTTGAGCCAGGGGGTCCCTAAGCACACACAGTTCTGCAGCTGTAGGTGCATGGTGGATTTTCAGAACAGCTTGAAGGTGTTTCCCATTTTATTCCCTGTTTCTTTCCTAGTAATGTGACTTGTGCTTTGACTGACTACTGAGTACCCTTTTCATAGGTCTTTATACAGCCCCAAGGTCCAATTCCCAAGCAGCACAAGTCACTTCAGAGCCTGCTACCAGGTATGGAAAATTAGATCTCTTTTTTTTTTTTTATGGGATTAATTTTAGAAATGGCTACACTGATTTTCAGCTGCCTTTTTATTGATCAGTTGCTGTGGATTGTGACACTCTTCTGCAGCTTCCCCAGTTGTTCATCATCTTTTACTGTCTTGGATGCTTAATAACCTCGACAAACTCCCATGTCACAAAGCTCCCCCCCTCCCTTTTTCCAGGTTTAAGTCCTGCTGAACAACATAAGCCTGAGTACAAATCCCTGCATGACTCCACTGCCAACCCCCTTCCCCTGTCAGAACTGGCTATTTATTTCTGCCTTCTGTTTCCTGCCTTTTTATCAGCCCTTTATTCACATAACCTTCCCTCCTACACCATCACAGCATGGTTTCTTCAACAGGCTTTGAGGAAGGACTTTCAAAAGCCATTTTAAGCTGTACACCTATTTGTTGATACCTTCTGAAGCCTGTAATAGATTTATGAGGTGTGATTTCCCTGTATAAAACCATGTTGATTCTTCTCCAAACTAACTCAAAATGATTTCTGTTCAGATAATGAATTCTCTCTCATCTGTGCCTGTGTCATCTGAGTGCAGA